AGGGCTTTCTGGTTTTCTAAGCTAACTCCCAGGAAGGAGGGCAGCGCGGTGGGGCCGACCGCTCTGGGTTCCGGCAGACCCGATGCGTTAGGCGGGCCTCTGCGGCTCTGATGCAGTCCCAACCGCGGTGGCTCACAGAAGCAACCGTTGTTTCCCGTTCTGGGGCCTGGAGGTCGGCTGCCTTCTGCCGGGTTCTTCTGGGATTGAAGAGATGTGGCTCCTGGCTGCTGGGAGGGTTCGGGTTTCCACACGTCTCTTATTCTGGAACCAACGGTGACCTGGGGAGATGCTATTCTCATTCTAGATGGCAGAGGCCCGGGGAGGGGGCAAAGGCAAGCACACAGGCAGCTTCAGCATGTCTGCTGTGACCAGGAATACATCGCGTCCCCTCACGCCATTGGCCAGAGCAAGTCACGTGCCAAACCCTGAGTCAGCAGGGCCGGGCTGAGTGTTCCACGCACCGGGACTGGCAGAGTTATACAAAACCAAATGCCCTGTTTCCCTCCCTTGTCTTTCCTTCCTAGATGCCTCCCCCTCCTCTAGCAAACAGGCTGCCCACCCGCCCTCAGATTGCCCTGTCCCCTGCTTTAAGTCTTCTCCTTCATCGTGTCGTTATTTGGGGCCACAGCCTGGACAGTGAGAGCCTAAATGCAGTGGTCTCTCTTTTGACACTCAGCAAACCCCATAAGGCTCCCGGGATCAAAAGGAAGTGAGAGCTAGGCAGTCCGTCCCCACGTCCGCCTGCTGGGGACCCTGGTACGAAACTGACCAGCCCGTTTCCCTGTGCTCTGACCTCAGACCTGCTCCCAGGCAGAGCCCTGGGCACTTACCTCTAAAACATCAATAGACCACCCTTATGTTTTGTTCTGCTCCCCAACAAGAGCCTCCTCTGCTCCCAGCACTGTGAGGAATTGACCTGAGCCTGGGACTGCCTTCCGGAAATGCAGCAGGGATAAAAGACAGCTCTGGCGGTCATTCGGGGAAGCCTTCCTAGAGGAGGAGGTCCGAACGGGGGCTGAGAGAATGGGCCAGGACATATGTTTACTTTTTAATACAGTGTCAGAAGAACACAGATCATTGCACAGGAAAGGAAGAGAAAAGACCGCCCACAGCCTCCAGCCTCAGCGAGACCGTGTTTGTATCTCTCCAGGCTGAAGGAGAGAGAGGCGCTGCCCGGTGGGGCGGGT